GAAGCTGAAGGACGAGCATCGTACCTTAACCTTAGCGGAAGAGTAGCAGCGCACGCCATTGAAGGCAGCGGACTGCACCGGCTTCGCAATGGAAGACCGGAGAGCGGTAGTACCGATTCTGAGGGAAGAAGCCATGTCGAATCAGACAGGATATGTGGGATGGGTAATATGGAGGAGATGGAGAGTGGTCACAAAGCCTGGGGGAGAAGAAGAAAGAAAGGAAAGAATTCGGGGACGAGCTTCTTTTGCGCCTGGAATTTTCTTTTTTTCCCATTTGGCCGTATTACAGCCGGTACCGTCGGTACGGTAACTGGGTCACTTTCGGGACGCCGTGGAAGCTCAGTCAGCTAGGAACAGCTCCAGGGCTCTCTCTACGGTAATTTTCCCCCAACGGTACGGAAGAGCACGGGCTCGGGCTGCCGGCAGATCAACTATGTTCACTACGTAGCTGATTGCGAAATACGGAAATTTAATTCGGGGTATGTGTTCTTTTCTACATAGTAACGGTACATATCTTGATCTTATGAAATTATACTATATAAGACATATCAAGAGAATATATCAATTAATTATTTCAATATACGTACATGTGTAATCAAATCCCCCAATTTGCCCAATGTTCCCAGATTTCGCGGTACTGCAAATACAGTCCACAATATCCCTGAGCGGCAGGTAATGACGTCGGCAAATCGCCATTTTCTTCCGTTGTCGCCATCCGTCCGATATGGAAACCCTCGGTAGGAGCTTATCAGATGGGATGTTAGTACATCCATGAATATATATACATACATATGTATATGTCATAGTACATTTGATACTGCCATGAACCCAAACAGACAGTTATAGATCTCAATTCGAAGGCTATCGTTGTACAAGCATACTTATATTGTAGGTACATGTTGTACAATGGCCTTTCTGAAACGGTTCACCGAGGTCCCGAGCTATAAGGCGGCAGGCAGGGGCAGAAATGTGTTGGTAAAAAGGGATGGGATGTCCACGGGTTCCTCGGCTCATCAGCTGTAATCAGGTGTATTGTACGGAGTACGGAGTAAGATGTTAGTGCTTCATTATCGCTTGATAAACTTTTCATTGGAATCAAAAGATCCTTGATTCCATTGTTTAGCAGACTTTATTCATTACTTCAATACTTCACGATCATTCCTCTGGGCCGTATAAGCAATACTTGAATATGATATGAAAACAAAAGGACTGTAAAAAACAGATGCAATTCAAGGTCAATATTTTAAACTCAATGTTTATTGACACGAGCCTTGCAGTTTTTATGGTTTGACGACAGTCACCTCGGTCTCCCTTTCAGCCGCTTCAGATATAAAAAGATCAAAAGTCTTCGGTGACGGACAACAACCAAAGATGCAAGTTGCAGCCAGCACGTGATTCATCCATGATAGGACTAGCGCCGGTCGCAGAGTCTGCTCTCCCCTTTGATGATCCTTCAATCTTCATCTTCATCCCCAACCCAGCATCCTTCTTTCTTTCGATTCCATCAGTTTCTCAACCTCAGTTCATCCGCTGACTGCGCTGGACTTCACTGGATCCTCTTGGACTCCGTAAACCCTTATCTGGCTTTTCTCTGGGACCTCACTGCAAAACACGCTCTAGGCTGTACATCTCCCGTACTCCCCGTACTCTCGTACTCGGCGCCAGGCAGCCTTCCTGGACAAACATATCGCTAGGCTGTATTCCAGCTGTAGGCGGCTATTCTCTGGTCGACAGTGAATGCGCTCGTGGAGTCTGTAGTGAAGAATCGCCAGGGTACTCGATTAAACATATCTTCTTTTTCATACCAAGGGATTGTTCGTCGCGTCACGAAGCGCAGTAGCCCGGACCTCTCGATTGCTTCCCATAAAGTCTTGACTGGGAACTCTTTTCTTTCTTTCTTTTGCGACTCCCCTTACACTTGGACTTGACGGTAGTATTTCCCGCCATGTCTTCCGCAGTAGCTGAACTGGAGAATCTGCTCCAATCCATGCTGGCTCTTAAGCCGCCTGGCGTATCCGGCTCAAAGATTGGCGGCATCACAAACTTGTGCAATGCCAACGTGCAGGTACGCTTGTCCCCTTTGGTCGATTGATTCATCTCATTGGTCCTGGCGTGATCGATGATATGCTAACCCTGCCCGCAGAATGAATCAGTTCTCATCCAGAAAATTTACACTCACTTCAAGAAGGCCCCGGGCACCCACAAGCTGGGTGTGCTCTATGTGGTAGACTCAGTAACTCGGCAATGGGTAGAGGCCGCGCGCAAGGCCGGCCAGGTTCCTGGCGGCGATGCCCCTGATGGAACTTTCGCCGCTGGTGTCAAGCGTGTCACTGATCTCCTGCCTATCTTGATGACAGATATCATCAATAACGCTCCCCATGACCAAAAGGTACGCAATAGGACATACCTGTATCATGATAAACCTCATATCCCAGCCTCGCAGCCTTTGGCGATGGCCAAGCCTTGCATATTGTATCCTTGCCCCGATGTACTTCAATCTGAAGATCATGCCGCCTTGGCCAGACTGTTTCGAAAATGTAACTCACATATACCCTGTCACAATCTAGGACAAGATCAAGAAGTTGGTCGACATCTGGGAACGTGGTGCGACTTTCCCGTCTTCGATGCTCACTTCGTTCAAAGAGAAACTGAACGCCGCTCAAAGTAAGTCCTCTCAAGGATAACGATATATGCCGCCGATACTCATAATTCACTAGATGTCGAATCGAACACCCCCGAGGGGTCTCCTGCACCGAACGCCAACCCGATCGGAATCCCGCAACAGTCGGCAGCACCTGATACCTCGAGCATCCTGAAAGCTTTGGCCGATATGGCCAAGCAGAACACTGCCGCCCCTGCCGCTCCCCCGGCTCCTGCCCCGACCAACCCTCTGGGTGCTTTCAACTCGGCGTCTGTGACCCCTGCCAATGATCCTAGTTCGCAGATGGCTGCTGCCATGAATGCACTTGGCGCCGGTGGACCTGTCGCGCCTCCCTTCGCAGGTATGGCCGGCATGGCTCAGAACCCTGCGCTCCAGCCGCAGAGTCAAAGTGGAACTCCAGTCTCGATGCCCGCCGCGAATCCGTTGACCGCGATGCTGCCTCAGGCTGCGCAGCCTGCCGCACCCGACTCGAACGCCATGGCACAGCAGCTTCAGCTTCTTCAGATGCTCGCTGCTCAGGGTATTCCTCAGGACCAGTGGGGAACTGCCTTGCAGCTCTTCAGCATGACCAACAACAATGGCATGGGTGGTATGCCCGGTATGCCTGGAATGCCTGGTATGCCAGCGATGCCTGGAGGACCGATGGCTGGATTCAACCCGATGCAAGGACAGAATGTTGGTGGATGGGGTCACTCGGACTCCCAGAATAAGGATGATCGTGGCCGCGAATATCCTCGCTCGCCGCCCACTGGATATCGTCGTCGTTCTCGCTCTCCAGGCTGGGATAGGCGCCGTACTGCTTCGCCCCCCCGCCGTCGTGACAGCCCTGTTTATGGAGAATATGGTGAATCGCCTGGTCGTCGTGGAGACCCGCGTGATGTGCGTGGCCGTCGTGGTAATGAGTATCGCCAGCGTAGCCCCCCTGGTGGCCGTGGTGGTAGACGTCGCTCGCCTTCGCCTGCTCGTAACAAGGATCCCAACTTGCCTCCCCCTGGACCCAAGTTCATTGAATGGGACTATTCCATTGGCCAGGGTATGATCAAAGTCTTGAGTCGAACTCTGTTCGTTGGCGGTGTCACCTCCTCTGAGGCTCACCTGCGTCAGCTCTTTGGTCAGTTTGGAATTGTTCAGACTTGCATTGTCAACGTGGACAAGCGCCACGCTTTTATCAAGATGGTTAGCCGCACCGATGCGATGCAGGCACGTGATGGAATGGAGTCGTATCGTACCGGCGATATGCAGCTCAGGGTAAGTGTTTTTGCTTCTTTCTTTTTTTTCTGGTCATCCCTCTGCGGGTGGTCAGACCTTATCTTGGATCTTATCACTGACCTTATCAATATAGACTCGTTGGGGTGTTGGCTTTGGCCCCCGTGATTGCAGCGACTACCAGACTGGAGTTAGCATAATTCCGATTGAGCGTTTGACCGAGGCTGATCGCAAGTGGATGCTTTCCGCGGAATATGGTGGAACCGGTGGACGTCCTATCGAATCTGGTATGATTGTTGAGGAGCCCGACATTGAAATCGGCGCAGGTGTCTCCTCCAAGGCTATCAGCCGTCGCATCGCCACTGATACTGGCGGCAAGCGGGGCCCAATTTCCACTCGTACCAACCCTAACACCCAGGATACTCGTTTCGGTCGCCGTCCTGAGCGCGATGGATACGGTGGCGGTCCTCAGATGGGTGGTGAACTTGACATGTCTAACGTGAACAACCAGGGAGCCGCACCTGCAGTTCCTTCCTATGGCTTTAACTTTGCCAGCATGCCCATGCTGCCTCCTGGATTCATGATGGGTGGTGGTCAGCCCGGTATGCCCGGTGCTCAGCCTCCTTCCGGTGGTCAGGGCAACTGATTTTTCTTGATTCCTCATTGATGCGTGCATATGGTCCAAATAGGTTGCGCGCACCGCGCATGGCAAAGGCGTTGGGGGATGGACATGTTTTTTTTTTTTATCTTGAGGCATATCATTCGGCGGGGGAGGTTTTTTTCTTTGTTTCTGCACTTCTCTTACCTTTTTAATTTCCACAGTTGTGCATGAGGTCGCCGATGGTGGTTCCACAAGATGGACACATCCCGGATGGATGAAGTGAAATTTTACGAGAGAATTCGAATAACTCTATTAACATGACCCCATAGATTCCTTGTGATCGTAAGAGTTTTCCGACGCAGCGTTGTGGTTTCCCTAGGGCAAATCTACGGATATGGCTTACTTGTAGTATGGATCTTGGAAAAGCGTTCATTGATATCGTATCGAGGTCATCACTAGGTTTACCTACGTAGCGTCCTTACTGGGGTATTCCATCTTCGTGCACGAAGGCATTCACAAATGTCAGAACACTCAAGCAGTACGGTCCGGCAGAGCCTTCGATGCCTGGAACGACTGCTCAAAGTCAGCAATGATATCGTCAATGTACTCCGTGCCAACCGAAATACGGATTCCATCCTCCTTGACACCGGAGTCAAGACGCTCCTGCTCCGTGAGCTGCTCATGGGTAGTGGACCAAGGGTGAATGGCCAGAGTCTTGGAATCGCCGACACTACAGTATATCAGTAAAAGCTTCCAAAGGAGAGCGAATGGGAAGGAGTCATACTTGGCAAGGTTCGAGATCAACTTGAAGTTGTCAACGACCTGAGCACCAGCGGCAGCGCCACCCTTGATGCCCACAGACAGCACACCACCAAAGCCGCGGGTCAGGTACTTCTTTGCAAGATCGTGACTAGGGTGATCCTCCAGACCGGGGTATGACACCCAGCTCACATTCTCGTTCTTCTGTAACCACTTAGCCAGGGCGACGGCGTTAGTTGCGTGTCGCTCGCAGCGCAGACTCAGAGTCTCCAGTCCGAGGATCAACTGCTGGGCACCGAAGGGGTTCAGGGCAGAACCGAGGTCGCGCAGGATCTCAACGCGCACCCGGATAGCATAAGCGAGCGAGCCGAAAGTCTCCCAGAACTTCAACCCGTGGTAACCCTCGGATGGCTCGACGAATTGGGGGAACCGGGCAGCGTGCTTGCCCCAGTCAAACTTCCCACTGTCAACCACGACTCCGGCAATGGTGGTACCATGGCCACCGATCCACTTCGTAGCACTGTGCACGACAATATCGGCACCGTGGTCAATTGGGCGAACAAAGTAGCCACCTGCGCCAAAGGTGTTATCGACCTAGAAGTAAGTAAGCTTTGCATCGTGACACGTTCCAAACAAACAACATACCACAACGGGAACACCCTTCTCGTGTGCAGCCTTGGCAATGGCCTCAAAGTCCGGAACATTATAGCGGGGGTTACCAATAGACTCAATGTAGACAGCCTTGGTACGGTCATCAATGGCCGCGGCAATATCCTCAGGCTTATCACCCTGTACAAACTTGGTAGTAATTCCCATGCGTGGGAACATAACCTTGAACTGGTTGTAGGTGCCACCGTACAGGTTGCTGGTGGAGACGATGTTGTCTCCAGCATGGGCGAGGGCCGAGATGGCCATGAATTGGGCTGCCTGGCCGGAGGAGGCAGCGACGGCGGCAACACCACCTTCCAGGGCTGCAATGCGCTTCTCGAAGACGTCAACTGTCGGGTTCATGATTCGGCTGTAGATGTTGCCGAACTCCTTGAGGCCGAAGAGCCTCGCGCCGTGGGCCGAGTCATTGAACACATAAGAGCTAGTCGCATAAATTGGGACAGCGCGTGAGTTTGTGGTTGAATCGGGTTCGTGACTTGAGATTGTTAGATTTGTCTTTGAATTGGGTCGGACACTTACCCAGCATGAAGCTGCAGAGTGTCAAAGTGGAGATTCTCGGACATGGTTCAGAAATGCGGGGAAGATATCAGAATGGGCTTTGCAATACGGAACAGTCAGACAGTCGGATTCTTAGGACTCTCAAGATCAAATTGAAGAAATCAAAGAAACCAAAGAAATCAAAGAAATCAAAGAAAAAAAGAACAAGATTAAGTGGAAAAAGGAGGGAAGAAGAGGGCCGACCTAACAATTGGGGGATGCAAATGGCGTGATTTGGGGTTTTATACGCCACGAAATGTTCCTGCATTGAACATATACTACCCACGTACATATGTATACACTATATTTTGATCTCTTTAACTAACAGTGATTATTCCGATTCTCTATATCAAATCTGATTTCCAATTTCAAAAAAAAGAGAGGGAAAAGAACAGTGTACAATAGTGAGGACTCGTTGGTCCAACTCACCGTCTGGCTTGGCTTATGTGCCAATAGTCGGGTGTCGCCGCGGGGAGTTTATGACTTTGTCGATTGACTGGAAGGCCTCACAAACCGACAGAGATTGCCTAGAAAAGACACCAGAAAGGACACCAAGAAAGACATCAAAAAAGCTGACCTAATTCCAGTCCAATGCGCTTGCTATCTGCGCCTTATCCCTCTCTTTCTTTCTTTTCTTTTCACCCTCCTCAATCTTGGAGAACTTCTTCTGTCTCCTCTCCCCTCTCCCCTCTCCCCTCTCCCCTCTCCCCCCCCCTACTCCAGACAATACCAAGTATTGCTTTGCACTCTGTGTTTCATATCGAGATCGAGTTATTCGGCTTTATTGACGTCCATGCACTGCAGCGACTTCAATAAGATTCCTATACAAGGAGTCACGGAATAGTACTCAGTCCTTAGGTATCAGACGGATGCTAACAGCTACTATAGGCGCTGCGAATAGTGCCCTGAATGTGGACTCACAAAGAGTGCTGCCCTCGAGGCCGCTGAGTGGCGCAGACCTGTCCGAGTGCCGGGCAGACCAGTCCAATTTGCTCGCCCAACAAGCCCAGAGGGAGCTGAAGGCCACCAAGGAGAAGCTGGAGCAGAAGGAGCCGACTGACCAACGTCTGGACGACCTTTTGGGCCGTCCACCAGTGCCCAGCCCTTCAACCAGCCCTTCAACCAGCCCTTCGACTTCCCCGGCATGGCCTCCCAGCGCTCGAGCTACCAGCCCCCGAAAGAATGGTATTTCACGACGGTTCCACTTGCCCTTGGTATTCTCGACTTGAAAGCCTACACTGCAACGCAGACATAGACATTCAACTCAAGTCTTCGTAATCAGATTCCACAACTGGGTTCCAGTTAGGAACTTCAGCCGATGTTATGCCCTGTCTCGACCTTGGCACAAATATCTCGACTCTGAAATAATACTTAATGCAGTTCGATGCAATACCACTTTACCCAGGTGATCGCACTGATCCTAGTGGTCGGCCGTGGATCTTATGGAACGTTAGGCTATACCATATAATGGGTGTCGCCCAAGAAAAGGCACCATGCCAGAAATGTCAACATCTCAGTCTTTAGACTACAAGCTATTGCAGTTAGATTAAGTAGCAACAAAGACATTGATGTTGGAAAACTTGTGCTCATTATAAGATGACAAGGAACATTGCGGAATTCTTCATGCTTCGACGATTTCAAGTAAGAATTTACTCCGAAAGATGATGGACACTCCGTACTCTTTGAAATGCACCATTTGACTCTACTCCTTAAGAAAGCCACCTGTTACAATGTATATCCCCAGAGCGTAAATTGCCTCGCTTTTATAGACTTCCCACTAAGCTCTTCTTGGCGGCGGAGCCCTTAACCACTTTACACCTTTCTTTAACACTCATTTTACCTTTGCGACCTTTCAACTATCTTTCCCGCTCAAATTCAGCTTTGGTGAATTCTTGTTCTGTTCATTCAACGGCTTCACATAATGGATGCTGATTCTGATTTCACCATGCTTTCGAGAACCGAGCTCCCACGGATGTATGATAGCTTTGGCCATTTCAAACTCGCCGACGAGAATTCCAAGGACGGAGACTAGCTGTTTGAGTATAGCAAAGATCTGCGAGTGGACTCAGCGACGCTAGCGAACATTATACTTGGGGACGTTGTCTTGCGAGAAGCGACGCAACGAATAAGAGTACCTCGAGCGAACCATGCGGCCTATGCAGAAGTTAGAATGTACCAATGATGATTCCAACACTCTGCAAAAATATGAGATGGAGGTCGAGGAGTTCAAAAGATTCAACCTCTGGGCGGAGGCTACCATGTACTCTGTGGAGTCTCAGCTCCCGGAAAATCCGTTGAAGAGAACTTACAACAAAGTTAGCACCGGCCGAGGCCTACTTCTGTATGCCGGGAATGTTTGGGCTCGGGAAGACCTTCTTTGTCAGAATATCGCATGGTATTGGAAGAAACGTGGTCTATGGCAGTGGAAAAGAGTGTCAAATTGGCTTAAATGACCTAGGGGTGGGATGAAGATTGTACAATTGCCTCTGCTCTACCTACATATGTAGGTAGGCGATTAGACCACCAGTCCACGGGTCTGAACTTGGACTTGTAATAATTAAAGGGATGACTTGCTAATAAAATTGCCTGTCTCCTGCACTTCAGTCTGATCAATTTAAGTAAAATAGGAGCATCAACAAAACCCTATAATGAAACGCTAAAATTAGAAAGCCATTACCCTCAAGTGTCCTACTTCGTACTTTCCCATGGTAAATCTTGACTGCCCGGCTTAACGCTGGCCTTTTTAACAATCTTTACAGAGTATATAATAAACTAAATAAACTATATATAAGTTGTCGTACGGATTAAAAAGTGTTATAGCATAGATTATCTAAAGTATGTAGTATGCATGGTTCAGTCTTGAGAATCCAAGTTATGAGAATTCGAAGTATAGATCTCTTGAACCTTTTATAAAGGTGTTCTTGTTCCCTTTCTTTCTTGCCGCAATACTCCCGCTTCCTTCATAAACAATGAGTCTTCCTATTTCTTACTCTACCCTAACATATATATGCCTTAGGCCAAGTCTGTCATTAAAGAGGGTTGTGATATATATCTTATTTGAGTGGCTGGCACACTATATTTTAGTTTACAACATATTAAACTCCATATATTAAAAAAGTGGACCTGCGCGGGATTGAACCACGAATCTCCGAGGAACGGCATGAAAACTCCTGAGGGATGTTTACATAAGCTCGGCGCCTTCACCATTGGGCCACAGGTCCTTCGTCGCAACTCCGGCGTTGACTCGCAAAATGATATAGCAAAATTTCAGCCCCGAGCTGAGACAGAGCCACCTGGTTTGTACAGCTCCATGGCTATTATCTTCTCCAATTACGTTGCATTACGAATGATTAATAAATACTATAAGCACCAGAATTACATAATTTAAGATAAGGGAAAAGTAAAATAAAAATCGGTTTATCACTACGGAGTACCCCATGCGACGATTAGGAACCAAGACGGAATAGAAAGACAATACCAATGATATTATACCTTGCCAGACAACGTAATATGCTTCTTCAGAACAGAGTATAATAAGGTGGTCGCATGGGAAGCTGTATTGTACGTCCCAGACATAGGCGAACTCATTCGCTGATTGAGTACGGTGGCTGCTAAGATATAGAAGATCGGTGTCTGATTTTTGGTGGACATGAAGTGCATCATATCGGTTTCTAATCGGACCTATAGACCTATCTTCCTCAAGTAGTTGATGTATGTCCAGCTATGTCTACAGAAGCCATTTTAAGGTCTGAGACAGGGTTAGGTATCATATCAAGTCCATTCTGGAGATTTTCATTGGGAACGTAATCTCAAATACATCGAAGTCGTGAGAAAATCCAAGGATAGACCCATCATTTCTGGTCGAAAAATTACACATGAACATGCCGAGTGACCAGCTCGTGATAGGATTAACAATGTCATTTTCTGTGCCCCCGGCGTTTTCTGAGATGCCCTTCTCGTGGGTCGGGTCAAATACAACACGGGAGCAAGGCATGGGTGTATGATGAAGGTATCATAGTGGGCGACAGACCGAACAATCCCTGTCAGCCCAGAGAGTTCTGAGTATGCCGTGAAATTACATCTTCATATCAAGCCCAATTTTCGGTCTTTGAATTTGAAAATTCACGGCGCGAAATGCGTACCCGTCCTTGCCATCCATGGATGTGCTTGCGTATCCCTAGCTCTTCGAGTTCGATTATGAAACGGGATGTAGCACCTCGGCTTTTTCCGTGTTGCCAAGCTTCTCGAGATCGTGCAGATCTCTGATCTGCTCTACATCCACACCCCACAATAACCCAAACAGCGAACTCTCATCATCCCACAACTTGTGAAAGGGAAAGCAAGAAAAGGGTGAGAACGGGCTACACTTCGGCTATAGGACTTCTTTTTAGTGAAATGCAATATGCAGTCATTTAGCCGATCAGACTGTGGCGTTAACGTTAGTCTAGAAACGGGATAGTCCATACGAGGTTTTGCATTCTTTCCAAGGTTATGTGGTATCCGCTCCCCGGTGTGTTTCTTTTTGGACCAATCACTTCAATGAACTCCCTGTTTTTCTTGTTTCTCTCTCGTCCGGGGCCCCGCATCCAAATAATCCCCAGAGAATCCCCAGAGAATCCCCAGCGCCAATTGAACGTTCGGACTCCTGCAATTTAAACTCTCGGCTTTCTGTCCCAAGCCGGTTACTCGCAAACGCCACGAATCCTCTGGTCAGCCGATTCCCAACGCCCCCAGCGGTGGCTAACCTTTTATAGTCGCAGCTAAGCCTCCAGCCCATTAGCTTCGACCCCTGCCCAGCTCCGGTTAAATTGTTTCTGTAACCGTCGTGCTCACTTCGGGGAAATGAGTAAAACCCCGGCGGGGCAGGGTTGCACCCCTGGTTGCCCGTCTGATCGCTGAGTGGCTTGACCAGGTCTCGGATGGCAGAATTTACCCACGTATCACGCGCATACTGCGCACTTCAAAAGATGCGTACATGGGGTCAAAAGATATAAGACCCGCAGTTCGTCCCTGTTTCTATCTTTTTTCCGAGCTTTTGGTTTCCTTTTTTTGCCCTGGAAATAAGAAGTATTTCCGAAAATGTCGTCAGTCGACAAGAGTGATGACTTGCACGGCGAGAAGGCCGCCATTGAGCAATCTGAGGTCTTGGTCAATACAGATCTTATGAACGATGCCTTCGATGGTGAGAACCGCGAA